TTCAGCCACCTTAAGCCGCAGTATCATCTCTACCAACCGATCGGGACGTCCAATTTCTTAGCGACGGCTATGTCACCTTAGATCTGCGCAACGTATAAATCACATCGCTGTACATTGCTGTACATCATCAACTGACAAACCACAACATTGGCTGGGACTCTGCTCAGTGCTTAACCAAACTATTTTCAACGACTGACTCTGGAAAGCTGGTACACTAACCTAGAACAAGCGCCTCTTAGCACATGTCAACACTACCGGCACCTTACAAACGACTTATCCGTGACGGAAACGAAACCGACAAACGGACTTCAAACAGACCTACTTAAATTGACTAACAATAGACGGACCAAAAACCCACCAGAACTACCCTCACCCGGACGATCACACTATACGAACTGGCGTTCTATATCTTTTTTTTCTTTCAGCCAGTTCTTTCCTTTCACTCGTCTTCCTCTGCAGAAAGTACAACAGCAACGATTAACCAAGCTATTTCCTTTTCTGGGCTTTTTAACACATATATAAGAATAATAATTTTGTTTAAATGTTAGAAAAAATAGCAGCTGGCCACTTAATAATGACACGGTAAAATAACAATAAAAGGCAATAAAAATCTTATCAAAACAAATCATAAACTTTAATTTGCCTTTCCCCCTTCTTCTTTGGGCTAAAATTTTATACAAAAATTGAACAGCTGTTGAACAACTAGGCAGCTGCATAAGTTAATAAAGCGATTTCCGTAGTGTTAGCTTTGCCTGTTTATTAAATGTTGAGGTTTGAGGAGGCAGCGTGGCCGAGTGGTTAGGGCGCCGGACTTGAAATCCGGAGACTGCGGGTTCAAGTCCCGCTCTGACCACTATGCTGGAGTTGTTTTTCGGTAGACCCTATTTCAACGCCTCGGCTGCGCTTGTAAATAGCCAATTGGTCTGCCTCCTGTCAGTTGGGATTTTTAACCATGCCATGTTATGATCATTTTCGTTTATTTGTTTGATCATTTGGTTTCATTGGCCCTGAAAAGCCCCATTGGAGGAGTGGTCAGTTAAGATTTATTATTATTATTATTATTATTATTATTATTATTATTATTATAAGTTGCCAAAACGATTTACACGAATTTCAATTAACAGTGATGATTGAACTTCATAGAGTAAATAAGCAGAGGAGTAATTGAACTGGCAGTTTGCTGGTTATAAATTACCCAGTTTGTAATTGTTAAAACACTTGGGTATTTGTCTCGAGCGAATAAGTTCGTATACTACCCTACAATGTTCCCGAAAATGTCTTTCGTTTTGGTGAGTACAAATTGTTCCATTCTTGCTTTTAGCCGCTGACTCTATGATCAATAACTTACCACATTGGACTCTCCCAAACATTGAACTCTCTTAGTTTTTGATTCAAGTTTAAGCCATTGCAATCATAACTGGCAGGCTTGTCCTTATTAGCTTTGTAGTGTGTCCCCTTATCGTTTGAGGTAGACTAGTCGGCCTTATAGTTTATAATAACTGACTTGGGTTTATTTGTGTTTAATTTTCTAGTTTCTTCTTAGCTGAATCGTCTGTAACGTTTATAGTAATGCTCAATAAGTCAGTCTGCTTTTCTCAA